TTAAAAATGACTTAATTATCCTATTATCATTAAAATACAAAATAATCTAGAGTGACAAAATAATCATAATATAATGTCACAACAAAAAAAAAATAATAAAGGGTTATGAAAAATGAAAATGTTATACAATACTATCTAAATTTTCATTTAGATTTGTTAACTATTTATAATAAAATCATAAAAGTAGTAAGTTCAAAAGAGGATTTTTGTTATAGAAAATAATTAAATACCGACTAAAGACAAAGAGTTTGTATGATTTCAGTGTGGAATATCTTAAATAAATTGAAATCGAAAAGAATTTGAATTTGATGGAACTTTTTAGTGTTTTAAAACTATAACTATTTTATTGAAAAACTATTATAAGTTTAGAAAAATAGTTTATTTTATGAAAGACGCACACTTTCATACTTGACAATTGTTACTCCAAAACATGATACAAACCTACTATTTCAAAGTATTATATTTTACATAACTTCTCAAGATTCTATAGTTTTATACATATTGGATGCTTATATCCTGCAATTTGTTAAACATTGAGAGTGTAAGCGGTGACGCTTAGGGAGTTCAATAATAGATACAATATAACATTATGCCACATATATAAACTTCAATATGGCAGAAGCAAAGAGGAACAAGGAACAACAAAGGCATATATGAATCATGTGACAAACTTCCCATATCAATCATTGATTTGATTCAAAGATATACAATCAATGAGACATAACAATTTCCATACTTGATATACATCAATAAAGCTTTGACCCAAATGGCACAGAAAGCATACAACTTCGGATTAACATTTTGGTAGATTTCAGGCTTATAGCCCTGTCTAACCTTCTGCCAATATCATAGAATAGAAATCATTCTCTTACGGAGACATGTTCTACATTACCAATGTGAATCTAAGTCCTTTCACTGATCACATGGTCAAAGCTATTTCTTTGCTATTAAAATAGTGAATAAAATAACACGGGAAAATAACCCGAAATAATAACACTGAAAAGCACATAACACATATAACACATAAAATACAATTGTTCTTATATATTAAACTCACTGTGAAATAACTAGGGGTTAAAATAGTAATTTAGGCAGTACTTCGTTACTATAATTGACTTTCTTCGTTGAAAACCGAGAGTTTTCTTGATAATCGGGCCTTGCGAGGGTTGGGCTTCAAAACCGAAAAGATAAATTTTTCGGGGTCTTCGAGAACTTCGGGGCGTGTTTCGGGCGTTGGAAATAATCTTGGGGCTTCGGGGGAAGTGGAAATAGCACAAATATGAAAATAGGGGTGAAAAGTGGCAAAATTTCCAACAAAAACCGGGAGGTCTCGCACCCTTTATATAGGTGCGAGCCTCGGATCCGAAGCAAGAGGAAAGGGGCAGGTGGCTGCGAAGCTGCGAGGCTCGGTATACGCGACAGAAGGGCGAGGTTCGGATGCAGGTGTGCAGTTCGGATTGGTCCAGCGTCTCGGATGACGCAACTGCTTCGGACACGAGGGGAGGGGTGTACATGTGTCGCTCCTCGGACGCATCACGGCTTCGGAAGCGAGGAGTCACCACGACACACGCCGGACGCCTACTGGACCGAGCTCGAACCCGGGAAGAACACGACACGTGGCTGTTGACTCAACGAAATCGACCTTATCCTTTCGAGATTCCTCAAAAATGATCCCAAATCTTCTAAAATCCATAACTTTCACATACGGGCTCCATTTTTGACGTTCTTTATATGCACGTGTAGGTAAAATTATGCTCTACAACTTTCATTTAGACTTCGTCAACTAATTTTGAATTTAATCTTAATATTATTATTATTAACAGACCGGGACAGAAAAATCCGTTAAAAATTAATAACTTTTTCATCCGACATACGTTTTCGTCAGACTTTTTACTATTGTACTACTATTGACGAAATCTTCAATTCTCATTTAGGTTGTTTTGGCTAAAAATCACTCGATCTAAAATTCGAGTTTTTAGCTGTCTACTGCTAAACTGAAACTTAGAAAAATCATAATTTTCTCATACGAAGTCAGATTTTGGCGTTCTTTTTATGAAAATTCTCGATTTAACAACTATTACAACTTTCATTTATATCACTAAGGCTAAAAAGTAGTTTATCAAAAACTCACTTTTTGCGTCATTCGGCGTCATGTCGGTTTTGTCGCGGATATTCGATTGGTCACAACTTCTTCGTTATAACTCGAATTTCGATGAGGTTTTCGCCTAAATGTTTCTAACAAGATTATCTAAAACTTTCAATAATAAAATTTTTACTTAGTTCAAATTTTATATTTTCGTTAAATTTCACCATTTGACATTTTATTGAAATCTCATAAGACTTCCAATACTTTCTGAATGATTCTAAGCATAGTTTTACTTCATTTCTAGTAAAAAACATCTGTTAGAACTCAACATTCAAATTCAAACCACTTGGGTTGTGGTGACTTGGTAAGGCATGTGGAAGATATGGTGGATAACCTATGGATCCATGTTCAAATCCTGGCACTACTAAGCCCTTGTGGCCATGGAGGTTCGCCTGCAGTGACTCCAGGGCATGGGGCAAAGCCTCATGTTTGCAGCGGGGGATTAGTCGATGCGCGAAAACTGGCCCGGAAACCCTCGTTAGGGAAGTTCCTTTTCCAAAAAAAAAACATTCAAATTCATATAATATTTCGTAATATCATTCACTTTTTAATTTACAATACACGATAACTGAACGTGTATGTTACATTTTAACAGACTACATACTTTAAAAAACGAATAGTCCATTTCTTGCAGACTGGAAAGGTTTAGTTCATCTTTTCAACTACAGAGGTCGCAGATGTGATCTGTAAATTACAGACTTTTTGCCTTTGTAAAAACCAACATCTTAGTATCTTTTATGTAATTTGCTATGTAATCTAATCCTAAACGATACAAATGTTTCTTACCAGACATGAAATCCTCAAAGCCTTATAATAAATTTCAAAATGCCTTTTCAAAATGCACTTCTAAAGCAACCCCTTAGCTTTTTAGTAATCGAAAGGTTTAAAATTTGTTTGATTGTATTTTACAACTTTGTGTGAAATATCATTTGTTTAGAACGCAAATCTAGTTAGCAAAAATGAAGGTCTGTCCAGACATTTGGAGAGAACTTTATACGAATCTTATAAATATTCTTTGAAACATAATATATTTTTTAAATATATGTAATTAATTAGAGATTAGTTTATAAACCAGATGTCATCGTTTATACTTTATGCCAATCACGTCAAAATCAAGAGCAAGTATTAGCATTAATTTAGTTCAAATTGTGGCAATAAATAAATTGTTTGAGCCTTAATTAAATAATTGAATTACCTAAACAAGATGCAACACCCTGACTCCCATCATGGGCAACAAATCAAAACCATCGTTATTAAATAAAAAACGTAGTCATCTTGTGTATTAAAGCAAGATTAATTTAATCTTTTACATCAATTATTTCCCTTTCTTTTAGAACTAATATAACCAGAATCTCTGACATTTACACTTAATACATGTTCAAACATAAGCCGAGTGGATTAGTTAATTCATGTGTTCTTGTACAAATATATCACCCATAGCCTTGTCATGAAAAACATAATGCGTATTTAAAATATATGCTTATATGTATCAAGATCACTGATACAGATGACAATTATCTGTAGATTTTAAAAGTCATGTGAGAAAAGTAAAAATTACCCTTATCTCTCAGGTCTCAACGAATCAAAAGTCACCTATTGCAGAAAAACAAAAATTATCCACTAGTTTGTTTAAGGGTTTAGGTTATTTTTGGTCATTTAATTTTTGGTTTTGTGCTTATTTGATCACTTAATTCTTTTTAAGTTTTAAAAAGTTATCAAACTTTTGGCTTTGTGCTCATTTAGTAACTTAACTTTTAGTTTGGTCACATTTAGTCACCTAACTTTTAAAATTGTGCTTATTTAGTCACTAAACTTTTAATTTTTTTTAATAATTTTAGTGACTAAATGAGCATAGTTTTAAAAGTTAGGTGACTAAATGAGCATAAATCTAAAAGTTAAATGACTAAATGTGACCAAATCAAAAGTTAAGTGATTAAATGAACACAAATTCGAAAGTTTGATGACCTATTAAAAGTTAAAAATAGTTAAGTGATCAAATGAGCACAAAACCAAAAGTTAAGTGACCAAAAATGACCTAAACGGCTAAACACTTTGTTTAATTCGTTAAATTCTCCTTTTCCAATTCCATTACACTATTTTGTATATTTATTTAAGTTTGGGAAAATGATTTTGTAGCTAATGGGCTAGTAGTTGTGAATTGGACTAATGGCCCATGACCAGATTCAAGCATCATCAATTTTACCTTTCCATCGCCATTGAAGCTAGAAAGGGAAGATTAAAAGATCTTATACATACCATATATTTTCGTCGCCATTTATATTCCATTGATTATCGACCTCTTTTTATTCTTGTTGATTATGCCATATATTTTCGTCGCCATTTATGTCCAATTTCAAACGTAATTTTTGTTTAAGGTCCAATCTCATAAAGTTGTCAAAGCTCAAGGAGCTATTCATACAAAATATATTTTTCGTCGCCATTTATATTCCATTGATTATCGACCTCTTTTTATTCTTGTTGATTGTCAATTCTTCCGCTCTAGTCTTTCCGCTGAAGAAAAAGCTCTTCTTCCCCAATTAATTCAATATCATCGATTTTCTTTTTCAATTCCTTCCATTCCTTTACTTTAACTTATCAAACAATGTAAAATAATATTTGTAAATAAATTTACACTCATTTATTTAACAATATGAAATGTAACCACATCCAAGTATTTATGTATGTCGCAAAATACAAGAAGCATTTTTCATACAAAATGCTGAACAGAAAATTTGATTATTAATCAATTACATTCTTTCATCTAATTGGAATACAATATATATATATATATATATATATATATATATATATATATATATATATATATATATATATATATATATATATAAACATGATGGACAATCATACATCAAAATGTATAACTTTTTAATACAAAATCAAAATGAGTGACTTAACACAGCAAAGCAACAAAGAAAACTAAATGTCATGCCAAAAACACAAGAAGAAAAAAAAAATCGACTAAATGTTTGACATATCCATTGATATTAGTTTTTTTATGAGTAAGGGTTCTCTACAACAAAATATCATACGTATGATGACAATGCATATTTGGAAAAATGTACCTCTTTAACAAAAGGGAAAGGGTAAAAAAGTCATTATCCTTCTCCAATTCTGAACTGCCTCAAAATGTACAAATCAAGCACCCATATTTCAGTGTTAACTCAGGATCCATGGCTTCAAATTTGCAACCTCATCACACTGTTGGCTTTCTTTTTAGCTACCAAAAGTTTGAATTTTCATCTCTTTCCATCTGGTTTTCCAGTTAAGGGGCTAGTTTCGGCTTTCTTCTGATCTTGAGGGGCTACTACTGGTTTGCTGTTGTCAAAAAGTTTCCCACTTTTGGCAATGGCAAGGATGAGTTCAAGTTGCTTTTGTTGTTGATCCTGCATTTCAAAATATGGCCAATAAATACCCCCAACAACTCAATTTTACAGATAACAGATAACAGAAAACAGAAAAACAAAAATGTTAATAACTGAAGCACCAACCTGCATTGCCAACAGAACTTTCTGAATTTCAGCAAGCTCTTTCTCCAGAATGTCTTCTTGCATTGCAAGTGCCCTAGTGGCTTCAGAGTTTTTTTGAGCCAATTCTGCAGCCTATAAACACAAACAACTTTAATATATTTTGCAACAAAGACTCCAAGAACATTAGATGTTTCTTGATTTACATGATACGATGTATTCTAATCCATAATAAAGCAAAATTTTGCATTTCTAGAACTGAAAAAGAACAAATTGCAGTATCATACAAACATTGTGGCATATAATAACTTTGGGTGTAAACAAGAAGACACATACCTGAGCTATGGGCTCCTTCATAGACTTCCTCGTTACCCTAAACCGAATTCCCAGTTTCTCAAGCTGCCTTGACAAAACCCTAATAATGGTAGCTGAGTTTCGAAGATCCTCTTCCACTTTCTCAATTCTCTCAACCAAATTAACCCCAGAAGATCCGGGTTTACTAAACCCTAAACAGATTCTCCTCCATTGTCGTCTCCTAATAGTAGCACCAATCACAATCCCCACCACCAACAACAAAGACTGCCACACTGTCACCCGGTTCCCAAACCACTCCAAGACAGGTTTTTGTGAAGTCGAAAACGTTGAATTAATAACAAACCCGATCGAAAGAACAGCTGAAGAAGCAAGGCAAAAGAATTCAGCTATAGAAAGGAAAGCATCGATATTGAATGTATCAGCAGCAACAATGTATTGTTTATCAACAACTCCATCTGATTCCAAGGCTCTTATCGAAGAATGTCGTTCCGTATGAATCGAACGTAACTTCAATGGGATTACCAGTCGGGTATTTAGGGTTTGGTAATGCGGAAGAACTGTGATATCGAAATTAGGGGTCTTAGGATTGGGGGAGTTTAATCTGAGGGAGATGCGAGCGTGTGAATGACGGATAACGAGGTTTTGAAATGTTATTGACATGTTGAACTGGCAAGATTGGAGAAGAGGATTAGGGTTACGAGTGATCAAAAGGTTTGGGGAAAATTTCGAACTGTGAATGAAGTGAATTGTAGAGATTGAAGACAAACTTACAGTGCGATGATGCCAAAGGTTGGTGGCTTGGCGCCTTGGAATATCCGATGAGATGACTCGACAGTGGTGAAGTTTAGAATTCAGGTTTTGGTTAGGTGGGACGCATAACAAATACAATTGATTATCGATATGAAACACGACTATCTCAAGTTATATTATGTAGTAAAAAACTTAAAATGAAATAATCAGTCATTAAAAAAATGTGTTATTACATAAAAGAGTATTTCTATTCGATATTGTTGACGTTTGAAATGATCCGGTATTATTTTTTTTAGTAACAAAAAAGATTAAAAAAACATATATATATATATATATATATATATATATATATATATATATATATATATATATATATATATATATATATATATATGTGTGTGTAATGTAGTTTCGAGATCTTATTTAGAATCGTTTTTAGATTATAATCTATTAATCTTATATCTTATAAAAATTAATATATGCAAGTTACTTCAACCTACAACATGCATGTCAATGTTCTACAGATTTCAAGATGAATGGTTAAAATTGTATGTACATGACTTTATGTGATAAGGAAATGTTCGATTTTAAGCTTAATGAATGAAATAGTTTTTTATTGTTTATTGGATTTTGAACTGATATGTGAAATCAATATTTTAATGTCAAAAAGACTTTAAAGATTACACTTAAAGATACTAAAGATTGAAAATCAAAATGTTGTATACTACATTTTTATGTTAGATCTTGTTCTAAAACCGATATTATTAGAAGTTATGGTTGCTCATACATAGAAGAATTAAAAGAATAAAAGTAGAAGAATATTTAATTTCTCTTCTTTTTATAGTTCAATATGAGTTTTTCTTGTTAGAACTTCAAAACGATAACTAGTTTTGGATCTCTGAATTTGAATCCAAGATTATCAATTTATTCATTTACACAAAAAAAAATGAATTGCTTTGATTCAAAATAATTGTACGATAAAAAATAACTTAAGAACTTATATTCATTAAAATTAACATAATTTTGTTTTTATACATATTTATTCACTTATTATTTTTTATGAATACAAATGGCCACTGAACTTGTTTTGATTGTTCACAAAATATCATGATGACCGGTAGACGAATATTTTTTGATGTTTTGCTTTTATACGCATTTAGTTATTTGTATTTGTTTTTGTATATATTTAACATTTATGTTCTCTGTGTGTACACATTTAGTCACCCATCGCGTATATATTCATCATTTGTTTGATTTTCCAGAAGTTACAAGAACCGGATTCATATCTTTATTTAACAAAAAATAATAATAATAAATACAAAAGTTCATGTGTGTCATCTAAAACCCTAAATTATTAAGTCTATATGCAGAAGAAGAATTTGTTATCTTAATATTTGGAGAACGTAAAGAATTGAACATGGTTTATACATTCTACAATAAATTAGGATATCCACATTATGGCGTAGATGATGCACGACATGCTCTTAGAGAGTCATCTAACTACCCTTGTCCTCATAGGGGTAGAACAAAAAGACATCATCTGAATCAGATTTAAGATATGATTAATTTTTGTACTTAAGGTTTGTTTTTATTATTCAATTGTCTGGGAGTTGTTAATAGATGATTCGTTTTTTTTTTTTTTACAAATCCTAAAACTAGAACTGAGAGTAGGCTTGCACTTATTAACCGCTTAAACATATTTGTTCCAAGAGAGAAGATTTAGGCACATGAAGTTGTTTAACTTTCTTGGTGTTCGATTGAAATTAACAAACAGGTTAATTCCTTATCTCTTAGCTTGAGGCTCTACTTGATGCAATCCTAATGAATTCGGTTCTTTTTGAAGATTTGTTGGAGTGTCAACCCTGTTAGCATTTGTATGGTGAAAGTAAACTCATTTGGCTCAGAATATTTGGATATTCAATTTTATGAATAATAATTTTTCATTTGTTTGGTTGTTACTTGATAAATTCTACCATTTATTTTTGTAGAAGTTTCCTCCAACAAGCAAGCTAGATTCCAAAGTCTATGGTAACCAAATGTCCAAAATAGATCCATAAAACCCACATTGAGATAAAACTCAGAAGAATTAGATATAGAGAATGTAAATTTCCTCCAACAAGCAACAAAAACTATGCTATTTTTGAAAAAGATGAAATTCTAAACAAAACATAAGTAACTAAACATAAGTGACTAAATACATAACCTAAACATAAGTGATTAAATGTGTACAAAAACAAATCACATTGGCTTGAAAACATACACCAACAGTTCATATGGCATTTTGTGAACAATTCATAAGAGTTCAATTGTCATATACATACAAAAGAAAAAGACTAAACGTTTATAAAGACAAAACTATGTTACCTTATAAGTCATTATCCCTAAAACTAAATTTTTTAATGACTTTTAACCCATTTGACAAAATTTTGGCCAAATAATTTTGATTTTCCTTATTTACTCATTATAGATTATAGATAAAAATATAAATAAATAAAATCAGGTCATTCATATACAAATTAACCAAAAAAGGCAAACCCTACCTTCTTTAGCAACTCCTTTTAGTTTTGCGTATTTTATTACTCACACTAAAAGCTATTACTAATCACATTAAATTTTAAAAAGTAAATAACAATGAAATTGGAGAACTGAAAATAAAGGCAATTTCCAGAGATTATCTTACCATATTATCACCAATACAAACAATGTAGTTTTATTTTACACATAATGACAGCACAGTTACACTTATTTACCCAAAATAGTAAGGTCATCTAAAACCTGTGAAATATGCTCATGTTTCATGGCTATTATTAGCCAAGACATATAATACGTTACTATTATAAATACAAAAATATAAATAATTTACTTCTATGAGTAAGTTACATTAGAAAGTAATACATCTATATTCTATTACACAAAATTTGGCTCTTCGATTTAGTATGAACTCAACACTACCAATTCATACTTTTTAAAAGCACAAAAATTACCAAAAGAAACTTTATACAACAGTTTACTAATTGAAAACAGATTTGAAAATATATGCAAATTAAAGCCCTCAAAAACCAACTAAAAACCATAAAACATCCAATTTAAACAAGTAAAACCAGAAAAAAGTTAATATAAATAAAGAAGTTTATGCAAATTAAAGCCTCAAAAACCAACTACAAAACTAATAAAGAATTGTCAACACAAATAACAAAACAAAAATAAATTAATATAACTCTTGAACCAATAAAGAATAAAAAAAATTATCAACCATGTCATCTTCAAGACATAGAAGGAACATGCATAAGCCATTTGAAATCAAGAAATCAATGAAAATACTGCTGAGGAAAACTCTGAAGAAAGTAAAATAGGATGAAGGATATAAAATGTCATCAAATCCATACAAGGAAATTATTAAAGTATATATTCAAAATATTCATAAAAGAAAATAGCAAAAAATGAGAAGGATTTGATGATTGAAATAGGAAAGATCTTTGTACATGCACAACTTCCAAGATATAGCCACCAACAGAAAATAAAGCCTTTAAAACATATTCATTCTTCAATACTCACTGAAAATTAACCTCAATGACAGCTGTACTTCATCTGCAAATACACAACTCAACATGTAAAAAGAGAACAAATAGACTTCACTTTCAAAATTGTAGTAGTACCAAAACATCTCAACTTTTTAAAAACAAAAATCATGAAAAAAACCAACATAAAACTCAACTTTCAAAAATGAAAAAACATATGTAAGTTGTAACCATTTTTCATATTATAGACCACATGTTCTATTTGAACCCAAAAGAGTATATTTTTTTTAATCCATTTTAAATTCGAATTGCCTCCTGCAATATGAAACAACACTACTACAAAACATCCTAAAAACAATAAAGATAGATTCAAGTGAATATATACAGAAAAGAACCAAAAACAATCCATTAGATCATACCACGAGTGAGATTGATAACCACCGAAAGAGCCACCACCACCACCACCACCACCACCTTGAGACCTGGAACCAGAAGCTGAACCTGAACCTGAAGTCAAAGCAGCTGATCCTACTTTCTTCTTCGGGTAGGCATTTAGTAGGCCTACACCCTGTAGCATTGGGGGAGTAGCCCCTAGCAATGACGTATTATCAACACCCATGGGTGCACCACCATAGTAACTACCTAACCCGGGTTGAGCGCCACCAATAGCAGCACCCAGTTGCCCCAAAACCCCTGAAGCATAAAGAGGATTTGCTGCGAGAAACCCTGCGTTTTGATTTGAAAACAAACCTCCATACATAGGGTTCAATCCCAGAGACTGATTGAACATTCCAAAATTTTGAGTCGCAGCAACAGCAGCCATCATTTGAGGGGTGGGTTGTTGGACAACGGGTGTGGTTACAGTCGCCGGAGATGAAGATGCAACTCCCTTGTTTTTCCCGTCGGCTGCCTTCTGGCAATGCAATTTATGTCCTTCGAATACTTTGTAAGGCTCTTCTAAAGCCTTTCTAAACCCTTCTTGAGTCTTATACACAAACAAAGCAAAGCCACGCGACTTTCCTGTTGACGAATTAAACCCTAATGGACCTGTCTCGATTTCCCCAAATTTGGAGAAGAATGCTCGTAATCGCTCTGCATCAGCATCGGGTTGAACGTTACTAACATAAATCTTCCTACTGGCGTTGTCCGTGGAGCCGGCGATTGCAGACCCTAGAGATGCCAACTGACACGACGCCATTCGGTTGTTAATCTTCTTCTTTGGTTCTTTGAGAGCTTTCATTGCCCCTTTCCGTGACCTAAATTGAACGAACCCAAAGCCCTTCGCTTTCCCGGTGACACGGTCAATGACGACGTTACAATCCTCGATTTCGCCGTACGGTTGGAAGGCGAGAGTTAGGGTTTCCTTAGTAGTGTCCCAGCCAAGGCCGTAGACGAAGATCTTCCGGTGGGACTCGTCACTGTCGGCGGCGTCACGAATTCGGGTGTAAAGCGAAGGGTTTGCTATGGCGGCGTTGATGAGAATTTCGATTAACTGGTCCTTAGTGTATGGTTCGATGAGCTTCTGGATCTGTTCAGGTGAGTTTTCTTCCACATCAGAATCCGAAGATGTCTCGGCAGCTTGATTAGCTGATGTGTTTGAGATGATCGATTTTTCTGCAACATTTTTCTTCTTCTTTGTCTTTACGAACTTCTTCTTGTTGGCGTTTAATGGTTTCTTGGCCGGCTTTTGCTTATTCGCTGCGGTTTTCACCATTGTTGCAGAGGGAGGATCGAGAAAATATCACTCTAACACTGTTGCGAGTAATGTATGGACGAAGGAGATGGGAGAGAAATGGGGAAATGGGGGTGTATCGATACCATTCGTGAAAGGTTGTTTTAAATTATATTTTATTGTTGAGAAATAAATAATAAATATGTCCAAATCTCATTTATAGTTTTTTTTCTAAGAAATAAAAAATAATTATATCATTTATTATAGAATAATGACTTCAAAGGATTTTTACCTTTTAGGTCGCTAAACTTTTATTTGTAACATATTAACCCTTCAATTTGTTAAAACAGGTAAACTGTTTTTAGGAGATTTGATATCTTTGTAACTTAAATATCTATAAATGATGTATTATGTGGAAATGACATGGTATGCCCCCTCATTAAAATTACAATTGAAGTCTAAGTTGCATTTGGTTAGTAAACTCAATTAGGGCATGAATTCTTCTTCCATCGCTCTAAAGAATGGCATCATCGTCTCCCAGTGATCGGAAGTTCATTGTAGTGGATTTTCACTACAACAGGACGTTTGCACCAAATCCTTTAGTTTACTTTGATCCCGACAAAGCATCCGTTTGAGACGTTGACTTTAGTGGGTTTCAATTCGAAGAGTTCATGGATTTCCTTCAGAAGCTCACAATATCAAAAAGTAAATATATGTACTTCTGCCTTCCAAAAGAATCGTTAAGTGAGGGCATTTATACACTAGTCAACGATGGTAACTACAAAGAATTTTTTGGATATGGCGTATGCTAATGACAAGAGAATGAATGTGTATGTGGACCACCAAAATGAACTTGTATTTGACTGGATTGAGGATGAGGTAAGTGAAGATGAAAATGGCAACTGCCAAGAAGATGAAGATTCGGTCTTGTCAAACACATATTTTGTTGACCATGAAGAAGATGATGCTTCTTATCCATTTCCAGCCAACAAAATCGTAAATGATAGGTTTTTAAACATTCTTTTGTCAAGATACAGTAAATGGAGATCAAACTGATGAATATGTGTTACCCCAATACCATGTACATGATGAGAGACAACCATGGGATCAGATGAAACCAATGGTAGGTATGTGATTTTCTAACCCTACAGAGCTTAAAGATATGTTAAGCAATTAGGCAGTTGCTAATGAGTATGATCTTTGGTTTGAAAAAAACGACTCACAAAGATTGTTAGTTAAGTGTTGCAAAAAGAACAAGTCACCATCTTGTCGTTTTAGACTTTAGGCCTCCTGGATGGCTAAAAAGAATTCTTTTCAGATCAAATCTATAGTGAGTGAACATAACTGTTCTAAGGTGTTTACATTTGGGTAGATGGTAACTTATAAATGGTTAAGCAAACATTTTATAAGTGAAATTATAGAGAAGCCAAAATGAGTGCAAGGAAGATGAAAGTTCCACCATATTCAACATAATGTGGGTGTGGGACAATGCATAAATGCAAAGAAATTTGCATTACAATAGATTGAATGAAGCCTAATTGAACATTATGGGTGATTGTGGTCATATGGTCAGGAAATTTTGAGGACAAACCTTGGGTCTACTGTGAGGTTGGATGAAGAAGACATCATGCCGGATTCCACAACTTTGTTTTCCAAGTACTATGTATTTTTAAAGTTGTGAGGGATGGTTGGAAAGAAGGGTGTAGACATGTAACAGGGCTTGATGGTTGCTTTTTAAAAGGCATAGTTAAAGGAGAAGTTCTATCAGCTATTAGGAGGGGTGCAAATAACCACATATACCATATAGCATGGGTTGTGATATGTGGTGAAAACAAAGCCACATGGAAGTGGTTCATAGATCTACTTATGGATGGCATTGATGGTGGTCTTGGTGCAGGGATTACCCTTCTTTCTGATGGACACAAGGTGAGTGTTAGTTCCTTTTTATGTTTTTTTTTTTTTTAATTTTTTTTAATGTTTGTTTCACTTATTTTGTTGTTTATATTTGTAGGGGTTGTTACAAGTAGTGAAGAAAATATGTCTAGAAGCTTAACACATACAATGTGTCAAGCACATCATGCCTAATTTTAATATGTAACATTTTATTTCAAGAAGTTTCTTATTTCAGGATTGTAGATAATAAATAGATCAAGTAAAGACCTTGGTCTTCAAGGGAATGGGGTTTAGACCTTATTAGATGATGATAATTTTGGATAAGTGATTAAATTCTTGGTTTGTGTATTGGAGTTAAAGGGTAAAAATTAGAAAAGTGATGTTTCAGACTTCTTTCATGAATTAAGGATTTTATCTTTTCCATTGATGAAACCTAGGTTCGCATTACTAAGTTTTAGTTTATCTTACAAACGATGATGTTCTAGATTCCTCGCCAATCCCAATGTCTACATCAAAATCTATCAAGTAAGGAACAACCATGTAGGATCGTATCGAAGGTAAGGTCCGTTTGGTATACAATGTATACCATTTGGAAATCCCACTTTAAACACCTCACGATATGCAGCGTAGATATCATCCCCATAAGTAAATCAATCAGTTTAATGACTTAGAATCACTGATAAATCTTAATTATATGTTAATAATAACGACTATGACTATAATTAAAAGTTACACTTGAATAAAATAAGTGTAGCTTAACTTACAGGGCACACTGATGAAAACTAGGAATTAAGCGGGAAGAACTCTAGCTTGAGAGCTTCTAGTAGCTAACTATCTGACACCGCAGGGCTTTACCAAAGTGACCGGGAAGTAGGGAGTAAATAACTAAAAGGCTTTGAGAGAGTTTCAGAGATATTGAGTGGAAAGGGTGTGAGAAATAAGCTAATCTTTGAGGGTTTATATAGGACTGAAAAGGGTGCGCGCCACACACAGACTAGGTGCATGCCTCGCATCTGGTCAAACAAGGGTGATGTGGCAGCTTCTGGGTGGTGATACATTTCGAGCATCTAGTGGAGTGTCAGTGCACGTGGTGCACTTTGTCGTTGCAAGCGAGCGCACATAGGGAATTTTCGTTTCTTCAAAATTTCATATATTCTTCATACGAGCTCAATTTTGATGAGTTTTATATCCACGTGTAGCCATCGACGAGAAATACAACTTTCATTTGGACTCCCTTATTTAATTGCGACTTTATTTTTAAAGTTATATTTTTAACAGACTTAGACTGTTAAAGTCGTTAAAAATTCAAAACTCTCTAATATGATATTCGTTCTCGACTATCTTTATATCGACATATAGGTAATGACGAAATCTTGAACTCTTTTTTAGATATTTTTTCCTAACAATCGACCGGTCTTGATTTTGGTTTCTGAGTCGTAGACTGCTAAGCTGAAATATTAGAAAAATCATAACTTCCTATTACGAAGTCAGATTTAGACGTTCTTTATATGTACGAAATCATTGTCACATATACTGTAACTTTGATTAAGATTATTTATCCTAAATAATCTTCTATCAAAAAGTTAAATTTTAATGCTTATAATATTAAAATTGAATAGCTCGAATCTGCAGGTGTTACACCTACAGACGATCCGCCTCCATCCATGACTTGCTTCATGTGTACTTATGCCAAAAGTGGCAATCCTAAACATTACCTTAATCCCCTACCATTACTACATCACCATTCCACATTAGTATATTTGTGCCCTTAATGTATCAAATTAGCTAATTGACATCCAATATGAATTTAATATACTATAACTTTGGATGTTTGATTCAACCTCATGCACAAACTCCAAAGACGTATTAGTGTCGATAAATATACCCTTTTGTATGTAAATGTACTAATTTAGCCTACTTATATTGCAATATGTATTTATTTTCCTTTCAATGTGAAACTAATTATAAAAATATTCTAGACTTACAATAGTAATTGATTAAATTACATAAAATTTTCATATGGTTCGCGCTAATTTGTAAGTTTCGTCCTTATTTTTGCTTTTTCACTTGAACTATTCATATGATTTTCTTTTGTTATAGATTTTGTCCCTAAGAAACCTAACATGATTGTATTACCCTTTTCTACTTTTTTTTATATAATTTTAATAAATAACAAGGCCTCGCCCCGTCTATATGAATTATCTATCAACAACATCATCTCCCTTAACTACTTCTCTTATTAACAACCAATAAAGAACTATTAGATAACTTAATGTTTAGATCTAGATGTTTAGTTCAACTAGATTTCTTATTTATTTATATATAAAAATATGCAAATGCCTAGAAGAGTAATTAGCAAAAAACAACAACATACACATCAAGTCTTCGATTCTGATTCCGATTCTATTAGGATGGAAGAAGCGAAAGGCAGAGACAGATTATCCATCCAAGATACACATAATGTAACGACCCGGATTTTCATGTATCACAAGGAATGAAAAGTGTAAATTTAAACTAATGAACGATGAAACCTGAAACTTTCAATCAAACAAAAGATGGTTTACGTTAATTTTTAAAAAAAAGAATTGAATGCTTCTTTTGACATCGCACAATGGACGGTTGATGTAATTTACTCTAATACAAATAAATATAAATAATAAATCTATTATAATAAATAATTTTTTGGTTATGTCATATTCTCGTTTATTTTGATACATGTTATTTTATGATTATTTTAAATTAAATTTTTTTCACATGTTATTTGATGATTTTTTCCCTATTTTATTAAAATACACAGAGTATTAAAATATAATAAATATTGAGTGAAAATATCACTTCTATATTAAAGTCCTGTAATTTTTTTTTATTAAAATTAAGAAAAATGAATATTTCAATTTTATAATATCATTTTTTTTTCGATCTATGGATAGTTTGTGAATTAAATAAGTTTCAGACTTGACACGGTGTATCTCACGAGTCACGTCACGAGTTCAAAATGAAGTCGGTCCTTACCAACCCGCCAATCGCCATGGAACTATAACGCAGTAACACAGGCGTTTGGGAATTCGGTAATCATCCTCTAATTCGTTCTATCCAGTATCCACATTGTTTGAATCACGTTTCCTTCAGGTGATTCTTATTAGCTCAATATGTTCTTTGATTAGCTTTTCTCTACTATACTCTGTTTTCGTATTTCTCCTCCAGAAACTGAAACATAGGAAGATTTCAGTAGTTAATTAGGGTTTTCTTTTAGAAAATTGAACTGGTTTTGCTAATTAATGGATCAAATCGGAACCAGTACGACTCTATCACAGTCCTTAGTGTGTGTTTCATGCGTGGTTCTAATATTGGCTGGAATTATGGTATGATTGCAATTTCTGATTACAGGAAAGGGATTTTGATACATCTATCTTATTCTGTTTGAATTTTCGATGGGAAGATGAACACGGAGCTGTTGGAGATTCAACCTGAAGAAGTTAAGTTCATATGTAAGCTGATTCTTCTCTCTTATTTTTATTTGCTTTCATGCTAGATCTGCTAGAAGCTAAAGTTGATACATGAAACTTAATGGTTATAGAGGGAAAATAAGTATATTACGAGTTCAGATACACCAAGCAATGTGGCCTTGCCAATAAAGGAAAGTTAAATATGTACTATGAAACCACAAAACCGTTGCCTTACCCATGGTAGATGAAGCAAAACATTCAACTTTTTTTCATGGTCTATGATGAAAGTCACAAAGTCTGTGGGTCAATGATACTGATTGTCAGTGAAGACAGTTATAGCAGTTATTGGTGGCAAAAACTAGGTCTTATCATATCTGTTACAAGTTTTTTGAAGAAACATCATAATCTTGTTGTAATTCATGATCTTTTCAATAATCAGAACCAACAAATTTATGAGTTTGTTTCACTAAAAGTGATCATACTCATTTTTTCACTACAATCAATGTATTGACATCTTGATAGCCCATTCAATCAAGCATGTATCAGCATTCTAATTCAATCATCAATTTGATCATTCAATTAGACATATACCCATTCTCTAATACCATATTTTGTAACTCCACTCAAGGGGATAGATGAAAACAACATTCATTAGTCATTTCTTACATAGATATTCTTATAATATAAACACATTGATTTTTGAGGGTGCCTTCCTGTTACATGGCTAAGTCTACTACAAATACAGATCTACAGTTTTGATTTTTTATATAAGAATGTGCTAACTCATGATGTTCTTATTCTCCATTTCACATTAGTTGAATTCCAGAAACAAAGCTCATGTTGTATTCGACTGACAAATAGATCCGATCACCATGTTGCTTTTAAGGTCCTAACCTTATTCCCAACATCTAATCTCAATCTTAACTCTAAAGATTTGATAACAGATAACATCAGATTTATCTTTATCCACCTGAAGTAAAATTTTTGGCAGGTTAAAACCACATGTGCAAAGAAATACTGTGTCAGACCACATACCGGAATCATCAAGCCAAATTTAACATGCTCTTTCACAGGTATAAATATAATCTTTTTATTTTTCAAAATTCTTGAATGTGGGGTTGGAATTTGGATGCTACTGATTTGCTGATAATCTTTTTCACAGTTACTATGCAAGCACAAAATGCAGTGCCTTCTGATTTTGTATGCAAGGACAAGTTCTTGATTCAAAGTACAATTGTTCCCAAGGGTACAAAAGAGGAGCATATCACATCTACAACGGTTGTTATAATGAACTTATGAACTAATGAAGATGTTGTTTTGAATTAGAAAGTTGATTCTTTTATCTGATTTATTTAATCTTTTTAGTTTTCTAAAGAGGAAGGAAAGCATATTGAGGAAAAGAGGCTTCAAGTGATCCTTGTTAGTCCACCCTCCTCACCTGTGTTATCTCCAATGAATGAGATATCAAGGATAAGGCCATATAATGCATCCCCAGAATCAAATGATGATTTTGCTCAAAGATATAGCTGTTATGCACCTGTAAGATCTTTCAGTTGTGTTACTTAATTTGTAATTATAGAGAAATGGTGTTGATAATTGATATTGAGTTGTTTTGAAATTTATGAAAGGTTGAGGAGGGAATAGAGGTGTCAAAAACTAGAAAGAGTGTTTGTGTAGTGGCAATGAAGAAGGAGCAATCTTTAGCAAGGAAGCATACAGAAGAGCTGAGATTATCAAATGATGTGGAAGAGATGAAGTCAAAACTCAGAGAACTTGAATCACTGCTTCGACAGGTCAGCATGTTGTTTTGTATTTGGTTGGATGGAATGGAATGGAATCACTCATTACATTCCATGACCATGTTTGGTTAATGGAATGGATTTTTGCAGGAAAAGCTTAGAAATAATGAAAACACAAGAACAAAAGGGCAGATTGGATTCCAATTCCTGTTTGTTGTTGTGGTGGGACTTTCTGGGCTTTACCTTGGATACATGTTGAAGTCTTAACCGATTAAGACTCAAGGCTTAAGGCTGCATGCTTATTACCAGGTTAGTGTCTGTGTCTATATGTGCGACTTTCTATCTTAGTATATTTCAAAAGACTCTTTTACCCCTGCCATAAAAACTGCCACTTTTGAGTTTTCACTGATTGTTGATCTTGATAGAAATTTAAAGACAAGTTTACTTTCGTTTATCTATATATGCTAATTTTGGTGTGACAAAAAAATAAAAAATTGGTGTTATATTATTCATTTACACCAAAATGGTGTAGTGACATATTTTATAATTAATTATAATTGACATGTGTCTTACAATACAAACAGTCTAATAAAACATGCAGTTAACCTGTATATATAGTACAATGGAAATTTACTGAAAACCGACATTTGAAAATACTACTACAATGTTGTTTTAGTTAAACTACAGTTAAATCGGATTAATTGTATGACGAATAGTTTATTTTTTATAATATAATTTATAAAGTTATTGTACTAAAAATGTTTAAAGCTAATTAATAGAGATGATGTTTTTGACAATAGTCTACCAAAGTCTGACGTGGCAATTACTTGTTTTCGTAATGTTTGGATAAGGATAATATGCTTAAATTATTCAAAAAGCAATATTTTTCATACAAGCTATAATAAAACTAATTAGCTTACCTGTTTTTAAGTGTTGCACAATGTATAAAATAAATATTTTTGCCTTGTCTTTGGCTTTGTAAATCCATTAGATGGCCATCATTTTCTAAATAAAATAAATGTTTTTGATCATTTCATATATTTAATGGTTAATATTTTTTCAAACGGCAAACGGTTGATTGTAACAAATTATTACAGTTTCAAATAGTAGAAACCTTTTATACTTTATCTCATACAATATGTTTTATTAAAACTAATTATTTGATTTTGTTTTTTTGAACGATTGAATTTATTAACATTAGCAAGAAGATTAAAAAAAAAAAAAAAAAAAAACGAAGCAATTATAAAGAATTATAAAGCTAAAATTAGTTTTTGTTACAAAGAAATCAGTTAACTTTAAGTTTGACACTTCTATGAACTATCATCGATTGAATCTCGGCTCATTTTGATCCAAACACCAAAGCGTTGATATATAATTCAGAGATAACACGGTTGATATGGCCGTATCCGAAGTTGTACGTCGGTATCTATAAGATTCAATCTAGTAGCCACCAGATTAAGAAGAATCATCTAAGCAAGAATATTGTTTTTTGGTTTGAGACTAACGCCTTGTTCCCGAGTTTTTTATAAATTCATTAAAGGAAAGGGAAGGAAAATATTGAGAGAATGAAAGGGAGGGGAAGGAAAATAAAGTTATTTCGTGTTCCCGAGTTCGAAGGAAATGAAATGAAAATTTTAAGTTTATGTGTTTCCGAGTTAGGAGGGAAAAGAAAAGAAAATTAAAAGATTATAATTATACCCCTCATATTTTACACATCATGTTTAGAACATATAAACAATATGAATCAACTACAGTGAGAATCAAAGTCAATCAAAAACTTTTAATTAATCAATCAACTAATGAAATAAAGTCAAATCAACAAAAAAAAACTATAAAATCAAAATTCCAACTCTTACAAATGAAGGCCAAATGCAAATTATCATAAAAAGCAAAAAAACCATAAAACTTGAAGATACTACTCACTTTTTAGCTTCATCCATAATCTTTCTTAGAAAGATCTTCCGCAGCTTCATTGAAGAACTAAAAATTGTCCTAGCATCGGCTTGATTACGCGACAAATATATGAAAGCAACTGCGAATTCATCAACATCCAACCCTATCAACTCTAATTCTTTCTCGATTTCCTCACCTGTATAGTCACGAGATTTGTTTACTTCCCTCATAACATCAACAATCTCTTTAAATGTTTGCACAATATTGTGTTTAAAAGATGCTAGTTGAGGTTGAGGTTGAGGTTCAAGTTCAGGTTCTGCTCTTCATCTTGAAGTTTTTTTTTTTTTTTTTTTTAAAAATTTTTTTTAATAACTTTTTAGGTTCTTGGCTTTTGAACTCTCATCGGGTGAAACATCCGTTGCTGACACTATTTGAATATCATCATCATCATCATCTTTGTATTCATTATCCAGAATTACCTTATTATTTGTCATTAGTTCATCCACATCATCAACTTTTTCTATTTTAATTTTTGTGGATTTGCTTAACCGATCGTTTTTTTTTTCTTTTGCTGTTTTTGCTTTTGATCCCGATGTTCTATCATCTGAAAATAACATCACCAACTGATCATAGTTTGAAATTTTTTTGGTCCTAAATGCAACAACATCGGAGTTTGCCTGTTTATAAACAAACCCAAAAATTAATTAGCAAAGTTAGTGGTATAAAAAATATATAAAACAATAAATCAAACGTAAAACCAACACATACACTAATTAATTATTCCCATACTTACTCCTCTGTTTCAATGTATTTTGTATGAGAATTCCAGGAGAACCCACTCAACGAAGCATCTCGATACATATCATACCATTTACTAAAATTATCTTTTAAAGTTTTCATTTGGTTTTTTAGTTGATTTTTTGTAACATACCTGCTAAACTCTTTACTCATCACTGCAATCATGTTCGTATAAGCTTGCGAAGTGAACGTGCCATTCACATGATTACCTATTTGATCTTCCTTTACCAGAGCTTCAACTAGAACATTATCCATATGATCTGTCCATGTCAAATTTTCTTTTTTCACTACACTTCCATCGGCTGCCCTTTTGGTCATGATCGCTCTGCACATACAAAGATAGTACAAAGAGCCATACATTGTTAAAAAAATTAGACAAATATATAAAAAAGAGGGATCATAATATAAATAACACCATCAAAAAAATAAATTGCAAATGTCACTACAAAATTAATATAAAATAACATAATGAATTAAGATTGACATATTATTGCTCTAGTATAAAACTAATTAGACATATTTATTTCATTATTTGGTTTCAACAAGTAATCTTCCCACATTTGACTTGTAATAGCGTTCCTCAATTCCTCACCCCCATCACTACGCAAACGTCTATTATTAACATCATGTCTCACTTGATGTGGTTGTTCATCCAACACCTCTTCTAAAACTTCATATTCAAGCTTTTTGTCGCGATCTTCGTCGAGTAAAAAATTGTGTAAGATGCAACATGCCACAAAAAATGTCCGATTGTGTGTCACACGAGCAAAAGGTTCCTGTGTACTTCTAACGATTGAGAACTTTCTTTTTAGAACTCCAAATGCCCGTTCTATCGCGTTAAGTAAAGAAGCATGCCGAAGATTAAACAACTCTCTTGCGTTCATTGGGGGGTGAGCAAAATACTCTTTCAAATGATACCTAACACCTCTATATGGTGTCATTAGTTCAATGATATCAGGCAAACCGGCATCTACCAAACAATATCGACCTATAAATAACATGTAATTAATTTTCTAATAAAAGAATACACACAAAATTAAAGTAGTTAATAAAAATTACCCCAAGAAATTAGTAGTTTATCATCTCTTCTAAGTGCATCTTTCACTATCCTTGAGTCTGAGGCAATGCCCTCCCACCCGGTTAAAACGTACGTAAACTTCAAATCAAATGAACATGCGACTACGACATTTATCGTAGGGTAACCCTTGCGACCACGATATCTAACGGCGTCTCTATTAGGTACTTTTACACGAACATGTGTCCCGTCAGTTACCCCTACACAATTCTTGAAGTAGGGATAAAATCTTTTTTTCTCTTGAATTTCTTTCGGGACAACATCACCTTTAGGTTGTTGAATGTAGTAACTTTCTAAGGCTACAACCGCGCGAAGAACTCTATGGAAGCACCTACTTGTTGTAGATTTAGCGCGCCCATACATGAAAGAGACCATTGTGTTTCTCATATCGTTTCCTACAATGTACAAAAACCTTGCAACATGTTCTTCAGCATGCATTCGTTGCGTAGGACGCAGTCCACCATCACGTTGTAAGAGAATACACAACTTTCTAAAAGCTTTGCTCACTCACACGAATAAGCTCACGACATTTCCCACCTTTTAAAAGCTTGTGTAATAGTCGTTCTTGTTCAAGTTGTCGCTTTAGCATATCTTCCTTAGTAAATTATGACTTTTTTTTAAAGTCTACGTTGTATTACAATGGCCATGAACATCAGAGTAACCACTAGTCTTTGTTTTTTTCTCCATTATCATCTTGGATGTCCATGACACTTTCCTAATCCTAAAAATAACACTCCACAGGTACAGCCAAGGGCAAAAAAGTGCATATGGAACAAAAACCAATAACAAAAAAATAATAGCATCCCACATTTAAAACAAACTGAATTAAGATAAAAAAAAACACCTTTAAATTGAGCAGCAACCACAAATCAAAAGCAACAGCCAATCGATGTTAGAGGTAAGTGTAAAAAAGTCCAAAAACTTGTAACAATGCTTGAAAACAGAAAACAAAAGGAAATTATAAAACTTTCAATTATATGGCTTTCAAAAGTTAGTGATATCCATTAAAATAACCTTATCTTTTTTGATCAATTGTAACTTATATTATTAGTTACAAAATAATTTTATTCCAAGATCAATACATATGGAGATTCGTGATGATATACCTATCTTAAAAGAATATTGTTTTTCATGAGAATGATCATGTGTACAGTACACATGAAAACTATTTTTGCTTTGGACAAAGCACCATCCAAAGCTTGTTTGAGTGAACATTTCATGCATATATGTTTTTTTTATAACTTTAGCTTTAACTAACATAATTCATATAAAACAAATGGATTGGATTAAAAAAAAGTTAAAATATTGAATCTATATCTGAAGATCAATAGCAAAGTCCTATTTATGGATGACATTGGGCCAAAATAATTAGCAATTTGTTAACAAGAGTAAATAGATACTATTTTTTAATTATTTTAAACTTTTAGTTATTATACTTTATAGTGAATTAATTGGTTAATTTCAAGAACTGGGGACTCTGTAGGAACTCTCTCTAAATATATCATGGTGTTTACACATAAACAAAGGATGGGTATTGAACAGAACATTAATGCAAAAGACTATAAATCAAAAAAAAAAAAAAAAAAAAAAAAAAAACGTCCAAACACAAACATTCACATGTATTAAACAGAACATTAACTGATGAAAACTATAGATTATTATATAGCCAATTTCGTTGTACAGAACATGTATTAAACATAACATTAACTGTGAAGATGATCAGAGACTGTAATGAAATTTAAATCAATTTTGTACATTGAAGCATGATACCAAATCCAACTTATTTGTACTAAAATAGCATTAACTGATCAGCACGTTTGCACAATGAGAACGTCATGCAGGTAGAAGATGAAGAAGAAAAAGACTATACAGGGAGGATGAAACGTACCTGATCAGAGTATGGCGCGAACTTGAGCAAGACGATTGTGTATGCGAACGTGCGGCTACGTGATATTTAATAAATAGGGTTGAGGGTATAATGGTCCATAAGAAGATAAGGCAGGATGCACTTCTAATTTTCTTTCCATTTCCGCCCAATTTTGGAAGGAAAATCAATCTCCAAAATCCTTCACTTTCCTTCGATCAATTAAACTCGGGAACAAGGGTTTCCTTCGATTTCCCTCACCTTCCCTCGATTTCTCTCCGTTTCTCTCCTTAAGTGGAACTCGGGAACAAGGTGTAATATATTCGATCTCGTAGCCTCACTTGTAGACCCGTTTGTTGGGGCTAATTCTTGAATTTATAAAAATAATAAAATAAAATAAATAAATAATGAAAATAAAGTGAATTAAATTAAATGAATTTAATAAATTAAATGGTTAAGTAGAAGTCAAAGTTTAGAAATTTGAGTTGACTCGACTAAATTGGGGAAAAGTAGATATAACATTTGTCTAACCCATTTAACCTTAGTTTGGATTATGTTTCTAAAAAGAATATGCTTACTAGTGTTGATTTGGTAAAATTTAGAAGAAGTCATAATGATAGGGTGGTTTTAGGGTCGAATAGAGAAAATAAAGAAGTTGAGGGGCCATTGGTGTTGGTGAACAAAGATATGAACTCAAATATCCTAAGTCTCTTTGATCTAATTTCATGTTTGTGCAAGAGGAAGAGTGTTAAACTGACGATTTTGAACCTTGATGAGAGATTTGGAGTTCATTGCAAGTGCCATTGAGAGATAGGAAGTATAAATCCATATTTTGTTAGAAAAGCACAACTATTTATTTGTTAATATTCAGAAAACTTTTATATTTTATTTATATGTAGAAAAACTTTTACATTTTCCAATTACCTTCCAAATATACTAAAATATTCGTTTTTTTTTTTTTTTTAAAGAAGTTAACGGTTGTTTTGTAAACTGTTATTTATCTTGTTCATTTTAAGTTGACATAGAAAAAAAAAGGAATGTCACTTATTTTTATTTGAGTAAATGGTTGTTGAGTAATGATCTATTTTAATGTTTTACCTAAGATAAGAGGCAACATCATTTATTTTTGTTTCCATGTTAGCCTCAAAATGAAAAGGATAAATGTTATGTCACTAAACACCCGGTAGCTTCTTAAAAAATTGGATATATGGGTTAATGTGAAAGGTAACCGGAAATATAAGTGTTTTTCTGCACATAAACAAAATGTAAGAGTTTTTTGAATACTGATAGATAAATTGTTGTGTTTTTTGTATTGCCCTTGTTTGGAAGTATGTAGATAATTATAAACCCATCTCTACTTCCATGGAACCTTCATATTGTAACATACATAAAATTCTTGAAAATTTTAAACTCTTTAAACAAATCCAAAGCCATCATTGTTTACAAATTGTTTTCAAAATAAGTTTTACATTAGAGAAATCCCAAAATTGTAAAGCAGAACCTGAGGAGGTGCACGATCATGCCTTCGCATTCCCGTGATCCTCTGAGGTACCTTAAACACAATCCAAAAGTGTAAGCCCAAAACTTAGTGAGTTCCCCCAAAATACCGATATATAACAAATTGCACAAATATAATAACAACATGTAATGGGTCCATAGCTAACAGACTGGATTACCCCTGATCCCATAACATAAGTTTGGCTTGCCCTTGGCCTACAACTTATGTATGGCTTGCTCCCCGACGTGATCAATCATCGGATTGAATGCCACCAAGCCTTCAGTACGAGTCTGGCATGCCCTTCCCGACGCTCAGCTTGTATCTAGAATGCTCATGAGTCATCAGTATGAGTTTGGTATGCCCTCCGCCCTTCCCTGACCCTCAACTCATATCTGGCATACTCTAGGGTTTGTTGGCTACAACACAAAGTAGTATTACCTTAACCCACCCGCACAACATGTCGATATATAATAGATAATATCATATACAGATAAATAGACAATATCACAGGTAGTCTTATAGATATACCATACTAGCATGCATATCTAATTCATACTCAACATATCAGCAAATACTAGGTTATCAAACCAATGGGTCGGTTTTGGTGCCGTCGACCCCCAAGTATGGTGAAGAAAACTCACCTCACAATGTCAAGTTGCATTGAAACCTCCGACTGCTGACTCACGAAAAAAATCTCGAACTATCACAGAAAACAAGCATCCAATTCACAATTGGAATACCATTTTGACCAAGGGTCCATACTTAGGGTAAATGTCCATTTTACCCGTTTCCCTAATTGGGCCAAGGCCCAAGTCCGAATCTTGATCCAAAAGGCCCAGATTACATCAAGTCCCATTCTAGGCCCAACTTCCAAATTGGGCCCAACTCCTTATTGGGCCTTATCCTAAGGTCAAACTTTCCAAGCAGCCCAAAAACACCCATATCCAGCTAGTCCATTAGGCAGCGTTTGATGGGTGGAACTAGACTGGACAACGTGGAACAAACTCTTTTCAGATAGTGTTTGGAGTAGATGGGACAGGAATACGGTGGAACATGATGGGACTCAAATGGGACTATTTTGATTAATTTTAGTCCCACCGAAAAGGATGGAACACAGTGGAACAAAGAACATTTTGACAAAAATACCGTCTATACCAGCGTCTCACGTCTTTTCTCCCAGTCTCCCTACTCACCTACCATTTACTCTGGTCAATAACTTCGCCTCTTCCATCTTCAATGGTAACCAATTTCTCTCGTCAACCACATAGTGCATGTAACGAACCAATCATTGACATTTTTTCAAAGAAAAACACCAACTGGAACCTTGATTGAATTTTATTTTAAGAACAAACCAACCAGACCTTGATGATTTTTTTAAGAACAACTAAATAGTGAGTGAAAGAAGATTTCTAACAGGGTCACAATGTAGTTCTTGATGATCATTGACTTCTCCAATATCAATATAACGACTAACAAGAGAGGGGTTTTGTAATATGAATTTTGTTCTTACTTCTCTTTATTTTTAAAAGCCATTTCCAGTTCTTGAGTCAACAATTTAACCCTCAAACTTGAATATGTTCATCATCTTGTTGACAATTTGACGATTTAGTAAAATCATAGTTAATTTATTTGCATACCTTCAAATTAAAGGAAAAGCGACTTTTTTGCTTTTTGATGCTGAACCCATTTGTTGGGTGAAAATCTTATATGTGTGACATGAAAGAAGATAAGATGAATATGATAATGGGTGGCGATGGAGGTTTCAGAGCCAATTGCAATATTTATGATGCTATAGAGGTTTAAAAGTATTAAATATGCAAAAATAATTATATAATTATATTGTATATAAATATATAATATGTCATATGTGTATTTTCAAGGATAATATAGTAATTCTACATATTATTTTATTTCGTCCTAGTTTCGCCAAACAAGATGCAGACAATCTCCTTAGTCCTGTCCAGTTCTATACAGTTCAGTTCTGTCCCACATACTAAACGCTACCTTAAGGCCCAGGCATCAAAGCCCAACAGATAACCCAATACTCGAAGCCCAAAGTCCGAAATACAAACAGAAGGTGTATGCGGGGTGTACCCCTTCGGTACGCTGGGTGTACATCGCCTCGCATTGACCACTTATGTGGTGGCGCCTTATGCGGGGCGTTCCCTCGCAGAGCTTAAAACTCTCATAAGTGCTTAATAGATTAAGCACTTAAGCTCAATCTTCAGACCCATGACTCAAAAGCACTCTAGAACCATAAAGTCTCAAACTTTAAGACTTTGGACGTCTAAAAAGTTCTTAATACATGGTCTTAATCCATTAAGATCTCCTATAAAGAACAAGGAACCAAACTAGCTGAAAGGGCCTCATTTTTGTGTCTTAGGACCCATCCTAGGGTCTGAAAGAACAGCCAAACACGTCCAAAACAAAGCATGCACAATATTGGGACTTTTGGGACAAGAAGAACACCATAAAGCTACCAAACAAGATCTAAACAATTCAAGCATAAAGGTAGAAGCTTTTTACCTTCTGGAGCTTCCCAAGAAGATGATAATCCAAGATCTACAAGTTTGCTTTCCTTCTTCACTCCTTTGATGCACTTTCTTCTCCTTAAAGGCACACAACAACACATTTAAACTCAAGATGCTCACTTATGGGGGTTAGGGCTCACTAAAAACGGCTCAAGGACTTGGAGGCTGAAATAGTGAGGCAAAATGATCCAGAATAGCACTTAAATACTCCACAAACCCTAAAAGTTAGGGTTTTCACTCGAACACATGTACACCCAACGTACTAGGGCGTGCCCTAGTACGCTTAGCGTACCACATGTACGCCCAACGTACAACTCAAGCCCCCAAGAAATTACCAATATACCACTAGGGCTTCTTAGGGCTAATTCCGAGGACCAAGATGACATATTTAAATACCAAGGCAAGGATTTGAAAAATACCTGAAAGCCCGGGATGTTATAACTCTCCCCCACTTGATCCAGACTTAGTCCTCGAAGTTTGCTGCAGCAAACAGATTCGGGTAATGCTCCCGCATTTCCTCCTCTGGCTCCTAGGTCCACTCAGAGCCCTTCCAATGCTGTCAATGTACCTTTAACAAAGGTACTTCCTTGCTACACAAAACTTCATCTTCCTCTCCAGAATAGCTACAAGCCTCTCGACATAATTCAGACGCTTATCGACCTGAATATCATCCAAGGACACCACAAAATCCTCATCCAATACGCACTTTCGCAGCTGCGAAACAAGGAAAGTGCTATGAATCTGACTGAGCCCCTCAAGGAGATCCAATCTATAGGCAACCTCGCCAATTATGTTTGTGAACGTTTGTTTATATTTGTTGGTTTATGTTTGTTTATAGTATTATATATGTTGATCTTTGTTTAATTTGTTAGTATGATGTTGGTGTTAATAAATGGTTTAATAATTAATGGCGAATCTATATGCGACGAGCATAAAGTGTGAAGTTTTTTAAGTTTGACTTTTTGTAAAAATATATGGATGGAAATGTTACTTAGATTTTATTTTTGAGTTATTTTTGGATTTTTGGACGTTTTACATTCTACAATTTATGTATAATTATTTTATTTATATATGGTTATTAATTTGAATGATTACGCTATTTATGTTTATTTATGTTTGTTGATGCTCGTTTGCATTCGTCTATTTATGTGTGTTTATGTTCGTTTAACATCTTAATGAACAAACACAAGCAAACATGAACCATGTAATTTTTTTAAATGAACAAACACAACAACAAAAAAAAAATGTTTGTTTATGTGTTCGTTTTCATTTGTTAGTTCTATTAAATCTAACAAATAAACATAAACAATCATTGTCCATGTTTGTTTGGTTTGTTTATAACTTAAGTCTTTCCTTGTGTTCAGTTCCTTCATAGTAAAATCTAAGGGATCAAATTAAATAGAGAAATTGTTGCCACAGGTAAATTAGCTAACAACTATAAGGTTCTTGATATTATTAGGTACATGATAAACTTGGTTTTGGAGGAAATGGAAATTTAGCGAAGATGTGACAGTGTTGCCATGACTACTAACTAGGACATGAGTACCTTTACCAACAAGAATATATTTACTTTTATTAAAACAAAAGAAGTCTGAGATTTAGTGCTTGTATCCATGTACTAGGAATTGTCTCATGATTGCATCTACAAAGTCATGTGGAAGGCAACTTCAAGTTCAGTTGGGGTCATCGACTTACTGCCCACCGATTTGCTAGTGTGTTGTGAAATCCGCCTGATGGCCGGACTATAACTGTTGTTGTTGGGTGTTGTCGGACGCAAGCTGCGTCGTGTGTTGATAATGT